CATACTACACTTAGAGTTTTACAGAACTTTAGAACTATGTTTAGATATATTATGAATACTTCACATAATAAATGGAGGTTCAGGAGTTTGTGAGGGGACAAAATTCTATAGGGAACAAGGGTCATTTTGTTTTCAACAAATTGAATAGGAAAGACACACTTGGAATGGGATAGATTGGAAGATCAGAAGGTTCTTCAGCCAAGGTCTTATCACCCAAAGTTCAAAATAGTGAAACATGTTTGCAAGTTCAGGTGTGGGAACGTATGCAAGCATCAGAGTATCAAGAGGAGTAGGAGAGGAGGGACTGAGAAGCACATGTAACAGGGACCTTCTCTTGTGTGTTAGTCCTTGATAACAACAGGTTGGCTTCAATAGATTACTAATATGGAAAGTCATAATAAAAACCAACAAGGACATTAATAAGCAAATTTTTAAAAATATGCATGTGGTATCTTCATTCTAACGAAGTGGTGATGGGAATATGCTTTCATGAGAAATTTGTTTTGCAATACCCAAGGCAAGGGATCAAACATAGCTCTCTAAGAATTGAGTCAATACAAAGATACACATAATAATAATAAATAAAACAAACAAGAAGTTAAGACAAAGGCCCAAAGAAACCACAACAAATGAGACTACTAAGGTTTCTCTCATGATCTGTCCCTGTCTGGATAGAACTGTGAATTCCTGAACTTGGCCCTTTACTGATCCATCCACTCTGTAACCACATAGAATACCCATTGCAAACCAACACTGAAGTGTTTATACTTTCCTGATGCCAGTACTGTTGATGGAACTTCAGTGTGCAGAAAAATCCTACCATACATATGGGAGCTTGCAAGGGCTGGATCCAGAAAGATAAGAAGCTTATTATTCTTTGTGTCATACTCAACATAATCTCTTCATATATATTTTTGTACACATGCTCAATTTTATGTATGCAAGAAAAACTTTTTTAAAAAATAGTGAATGTTAAAAGGCCTTTTATATTATACAGAATTATATGGAAGATTCTTAACTTAAATTCAGTTACCTCTCTATTTTGATTCTTTTGCCTTCTCTATTCTGTATGACATGAATAGCTTTAATTGTTTTCTTTATAAAATAAGCATGAGCTCTTTATAAGTGAGTGGGCTTTCTCAGGTAAGCATAACTACCACCCCTCTTCAAAGAAGCTGCTCTGCACAGTAGACAGAGGCCACCACAAAACTACAACTGGATGCAATGCAGAGATCAGCTGATCATGCAGAGCTCATGCCCATAGGATGTATCTACATCATAGCTCCTACATCTATGACTCAGTGGTCATATATATGTCACAATAATAATCTAATAAAAAAAGGCATGAGACAGGTTAGATGGAGTGGGCATGGGTGGGATCAGAAGTTAATGGAATGGGGTAAGTGATATAATTGTACTTTAATTAAAATGTATAAAAATAAAAAATGTAGGTATGGTGTGGACTCTAAACAAATTATCTGCTTGACGGTCTCAGATGATGGGGAAACATCATTCAATCACACAGTTTCTTAGCATACATGAGTTCTTCTGCTTATTTCTTTGGAAATACTCATGCAAATTCAAAAAATTATTACTGTAAATTGTCATTTCATTCATTATGAGAATAAAAGACACCCTTGAGGCAACACAAACCCTTTAAATTAGTAACTTTTTTTTCTATTTAATATACTGTGCTCTTCAGACTTTGATGATTCCCCCATAGAAGGCCCCACCCTTTCTATGCAACAGAAGAGGGATGGGATGGGGGTTGGTGGGGGGCATGGGAGAATGAGAGGGAGAGGGAACTGGGATTGATATATAAAATTGTTTCTAATTTAAATTTTCTTCCTTCTCTTTGTAAAATGTACCCTTTTAAGATTCTTCTTCTTTTTATGATTCTAAAATTTGTCAGAAAACTCTTTTGGTACAGTTACAGTTGCCTCTTTTCAATTTACTAACTATAGTAATTATAAGCAATTGTTAAGTAACAATTGTTTTCTTTTTCTCATTGTTATACAAAATTCAAGTCTGGTGTAATGTCCATACAGATATTTTAGTTTAATATTCTTGACATTGATGGTCATTTATATGCACCTCTATTCATCTTGACTTATCTATTAGTTTTAGGGCTCTGTAGGATATAAACTACTAAACTTTTATTATGCAGTAGTCTATCATATACTGTCTACATGTTAACTACCAAATAGAGGGTGATTGTGTCATATGCTTTTGCAATACAGTGGTGACGCAGACATGATACACAGTCTACCCCAAAAGGGAAAATTGGGGAGAAAAGATATAAATTAAAAAAAAAAAACTTCCTTCTTTCAAAGGTGAACACCATGAGGTTTTGAGGCTTGAGAAAAAAATCATATTGAGCTTGTTAAAAGCTCAGTCTTCCAGGGTGGCATCATCACCATTGTAGAGGTTTACCCCCATCACTCTAGGGGTAAGATCTCCTAGAGTCTCTTATGCAGCCTGGAACCACAATACAAAACAGATCATCTTTAGAACTTCTGCAGGATACCCATCTGTCCTGCTGAAACCAAGGCAGTCTTGCCAATACTTTTAAAATCACCCTTTTGGAGTGTCTTCCATGTCTTGAAGGACAGAACACATTCACAGGCCCCTTTCATTCATTCCATTTAGTGTTCTCTATCAGCGTTTCTGTTGCTATAGTTCTGGTATCAGCCAGCTATTCCTAGATTTTCTAATTTGATTAAAACTGTGGTTCTCACCCATGATGATCTAATCAAAAGCTGGCCTATTACACCAATAATGTTCATTTATGAACACTTTTTATTTATTTGTGTGTTTGTGTGTTGTGTGTGCGTGTGAGAGATAGAAAATCCAAAACTGCCTATATATTTAATTTCAAATCTTCTTTTGCTTAATAATTCAATCTCAAGTAAATTTTTCTTTTTCTTTTTTACTTTATTTTATTTTATTCAATTTTATT